GTGGATGGATAGATGGATGGGTGGGTGAATAGAGGGATAGGTGGATTGCCGGATGAGTAGAGGGATGGTGGATGGGTAGGTGGGTGGATGGATAGATGGATGGGTGAGTGAATAGAGGGATGGTGGATGGGTGCATGAATAGAGGGATGGTGGATGGGTGCGTGAATACAGGGATGGTAGATGGGTGAGTGGGTGGATGGATAGATGGATGTAGGGCAGATAGGGATAGTGGATGGTTGAGTGAGTGGATGGATAGATGGATATGTGGGTGAGTGGATGGATAGATGGATGGATGGGTGAATGCAGGGATGGTGGATCAGGGGGTGCGTGGCTGGGTGGAGAGATGGATGGATGATGGGTGGAAAGAGAAAATATTGGTGACCATCTGCTGTTGGTAATTCCTTATGGTGCCAGTTTATGGAACTTGAGCGTGTTTCACTGAATCACACTGCTAGGAACTGGTCTTCTCCCTTAACCTGTTAGAGAAGCAAGACTCAGGGTTGTTTGTCACTTGGAGAGCTTTTCACAGGGTCCCTTTTTTGCTTTGGTCCCCAGAATCCCCTCCCCTAATGGTACTGGTGAGAGGCGGGCTGTGGTCTCAGCCGGGAGCTGCCCACAAGCTTGTCCTCAGGGAGCTGCCCACAAGCTTGTCCTCAGCTGTCACCTCAGAAGTTCATGTCTCTGGGTCAGAACAGAGGTGTGGAAAAGCCACCTCTGCCAGCTCAGGGATTTTGGCACTGACGGACTCCCAGCAAGGGCTCTGCAGAGAAAGGCCATGAGACTCCTTCAATGCCTAATAAAATGCACTCATCCCGCCAAGCCTTATTTGCCATTTGAAGCTCACACCTGCGCCTGCGCGGTAAACTGCCCTGTCAGGACTGCGTTTTCCAGCAGAAAGCATGCTTGTATCTCCACACCTGCAAAGAGAAGGCAAAGAGTTTGTCTTTTCTTCCCATTTGAATGTCTGACCCATAGTTCAGCTGGACAAGGTAGACACTCAAGAAACGAGGTCCCTCCTGACCCGCATCTGTGGGGCATCCCTCGCTTTGCAAACTCCCTGCTTGGTTTTCCAAACCGAATGCAACCCCAGCGCCCTCTGGGCTCCCCTGTTCTCCTCCCTTCTATCTTGGCACCAAACGTGATCTACCCCTATTAATGGCAGGACCACAGAGACGAAAACACAAGCAAACCTCTTCATGCCACATCTTAAGTCATGGCGAGGGGAGGAGAAACTTACTCCGACAGACAGTGTCATCCAGGAGGCTTGGAGAAGGCCCTGCGCCCAGCACATAGCCCCCGATGAAAGAGAACTGGCTCCAGGAACTCCGTTCCTGTGAACAGATTTCTTTCCATAAGTACCCTGTCAATTAAAACCCAAACTGATTCTCTGTTCTTTCTCAACTGGTGTCTCCCTTCCAGAAAGTTCAGCAGTACACAGTCATCGTTCAGGCCACAGACATGGAAGGAAATCTCAACTATGGCCTCTCAAACACAGCCACAGCCATCATCACGGTGACAGATGTGAATGACAACCCGCCAGAATTTACCGCCAGCACGGTGAGTCCCTCGAAACCGCCCAGTGATGCATGGCCTGTGCGGGGCAGGAATGCACTGACGTGCGGCGCAGCTCCCTCTCTCTCTGCAGCTCTGTCTGATGGGTGCTTGGCAGGTAGCATGTAAGAAAGGCCCTGGGCAGCAGGGGCTGCTGTGTGGAGTGGCTCCACTCCTGGTGTGCGCAGTAGGGGAGAGGCCAGGGCTCAGCCAGGGAGGGGACCTGCGGCGGAGGTCGGTTGCCACCTGGGAGGCATCTCTGTGATGTCTGGAGGAGTTAACTGGTACTGTTTGGGCTGATGTTACTGCCACTTTGGGAGGCGTGCGTGTGGGACCTTCTTGGGGGATGCCCAGATGGAGCATTGGCATGGTGGGTCCATCCTGTGTGTGGAACTTGGCTGACCCTCTATGGCCCACTGTTGGCAGAAAGGGGGTCATGACTGGACCCCATACCGGCTGCTTGGGACCTGAGTGACCACTCACTGAATGTTATTGAAAGTCCACTGCGAGGTCCTGAGCCCCCAGTTCACAGGGGGCCAAACTCTGTCTGGTGGGAACATGGTGGAGACAGGGCTGTAAGGCATGCGGCCCCCGCTTCCTCTGGATTCCAGCAGGGCAGCTGCACCACCAGGAGGGGCCCTTCCCTTGAAATCTGCAGAGGCCACCGCGCCAACAGACATTCGATGGCCCCACTTCCCTGCTGCCCGGCGATCTGGGGAGGTCCCAGCCTCGGCTGTTGCCCTTCTTTTCAACCAGGACCCTCTGTGGTGACTCCCTGGGTCCGTGGGGTGCAACACTGTGTCCCCAAGCTGTCATTTTGGGCCCCTGTAGCAGTGCTGACATCACAGGCACGTGGCCCAGCCCCGGGAACCCTCTAGGAAGGTTTAAGGCACCAGGCTGCGACGTGCAGAGGGGAGGGTCAGCGAGGGCTCCCAGAGTGACCGTGACCCCGAGATGCCAGGATCTCAGGGTTTTCTTTGCCCCTACAACCATATCACCCGCTTCTCCCCCAGGCCTAGGCCCCCACAGAGCTGTGTGTCAATCATGATAGCAATGACATGATAGCAATGACAGCAGCAGCACCAGCTGCACCTGTGGAGCTGCCCCTTGGGCCCCAGGGTGCGGCCAGGGTGCAGAGCCAGCCTCTGATCCCAGCCAACCCCGACTAACCCAATGACAGATGAGGACTCTGGGCTGCGGAAGGCTAAGAGGGAGACGGGAAGGGATGGGGTCAGGAGCAAGGACGGGAAGGGATGGGGTCAGGAGGGAGACGCTCCTCCCTGTGGGTAGGCCGGCTTGCTGAGAAGGCAACTCAAGGCCAGAGACCCTCACCACGGCACCCGTCCTGCATCTGGGCCTCCTGCGTCCTGCATCCCGGGCCCCGGGCGCAGCTGCACCAGGCGGGGGTGGCCGTGAGCACACAGCGCCATCTGGTGGGAAGATGGCAGATCACAGCGAAGGAAGCCAGCTCAGCACCACTGCGGCAGGGCTGGGATGCTCCAGGCGCGCCCTCAGGCTCCTGGCAGTGAGTCCCAGGCAGCAAGCAGCCAGGGCAACCAGGAGCCCGAGGAGCATTTAACAGGGCGCAGCCCCAGGATGCAACAGCTCTCATACAATTGGCCAGGAAGGCTTTCAGATGGTTTGGAAAACACCCCCTTCTCTCTTGGCTTCAGTCTCTATTTACTCTCTTCCGGCCAATGAGCAACGGGCAGGAAAAGCTCAGGGCCAGGCTCCCGGGGAGTCTGGACATACGGGAAGCAGCTGCTAACCCCAGAGCCCTGGAGAATAATAACGTCCAGGCCCAAGAGCGCAGCCGGGCTGCACCCACACAGCTGGCCAGGCAGCCCCAGCTGTCCTTCCTCCCTGACTCCAAGAAAGAGAAGGAAGTGATGGCAGGGAGGGAGGGGAGAAGGTGACGCACATTGTGTGGAGCAGGTGTCTCTGCCTTTCTTGGAGCCGGCATCCCTGTGAAGGAAGACGGAGAACCGCAGGATGTCTCTGACCTGCACATGCCTCTGAAAACGGCCAGCCCAGGAGTCACACTGAGCCCCCAACGGAATTCTGCATTTGGCTCAAGGCAACTTGAAGCACATTGCAGGAGAGAATTCTTGCCTCTGTGTCCCCTTGAACAAAAGGTGGGGATGACCTGATTCTCTGAGATGTTGGGGGGCAGAAGATAAACAAGGGGAACTGTGGTCCTAAATCCCGAAATTCAGAGAATCCCGTCATTCCATTGCAAGCCCTACCACTCATCTCTGGTCCCCCTCCCGAGACTCTGGGAAGCCAAGGCAGAGGCCCTTCTAGACCTAGTGGACCAGCCACAAGCACTGACCAGCATGAGCACTGACCAGCACTGACCAGCCACCAGCACTGACCAGCCTCCAGCATTTACCAGCACTGACCGAAAATGACCAGCAACCAGTACTGACCAGCACTGACAAGCCACCAGCACCGACCAGCCACCCGCACTGATCAGCACTGAGCAGCCCTCGGCACTGAGCTACCCTCACGGCCACTGCTGACCGGCCACACCACCCTGGGGCTGCTCCTCCTGGGACTGGGGCAGAGGGTCCCCATGGCATTTATTAGAGAGACACATCCCTGTGCTTTTCCAATGGCTAAGCACAGGCTACTGCAGCCTCATGCACCTCCCAGAGTTGGGCCATTGTCCATTCTTGGTTCCAGAGGGCCTCAGGCAGGTCCCAGGCCCCAGATCACGGGGCAGGGAAATGGCATCTCTTGAGGAGTACGCAGATATGTCTAGGTGCTTCTCAGCCAGTGTCCACAGCACCTCCCGGTCTAATACAGGCTGGGAGAGGGTCCGCAGTCTGCTGCATTGGTCAGGCCGGCGAGGTGACGTGCTAGTGAGTGGACAATGGATGAATGACCCTGGCAGGGAGGGTCCCCTCCACCCTGGGGTGGCTTTTCCAGGTGACTGGGTCACATGGTCATGGGGAAGGGGTGTCTGTAAGTACTCGGGGTTAGGATGGCCCTTGGTGTGTCCTTCTGAAGATGAGTGACAGGCAGGAGCCCCAGGACACTGTCCATGCCTCACCGTGGGATGGAGCAGGCAAAGGGGCCAGCAGGATGGCGAGGGCCAGCCACGCCACAACATAAACAAGGGGAACTGTGGTCCTAAATCCCGAAATTCAGAGAATCCCGTCATTCCATTGCAAGCCCTACCACTCGTCTCTGGTCCCCCTCCCGAGACTCTGGGAAGCCAAGGCAGAGGCCCTTCTAGACCTAGTGGACCAGCCACAAGCACTGACCAGCATGAGCACTGACCAGCACTGACCAGCCACCAGCACTGACCAGCCTCCAGCATTTACCAGCACTGACCGAAAATGACCAGCAACCAGTACTGACCAGCACTGACAAGCCACCAGCACCGACCAGCCACCCGCACTGATCAGCACTGAGCAGCCCTCGGCACTGAGCTACCCTCACGGCCACTGCTGACCGGCCACACCACCCTGGGGCCTTCTCTCTTGGCTTCAGTCTCTATTTACTCTCTTCCGGCCAATGAGCAACGGGCAGGAAAAGCTCAGGGCCAGGCTCCCGGGGAGTCTGGACATACGGGAAGCAGCTGCTAACCCCAGAGCCCTGGAGAATAATAACGTCCAGGCCCAAGAGCGCAGCCGGGCTGCACCCACACAGCTGGCCAGGCAGCCCCAGCTGTCCTTCCTCCCTGACTCCAAGAAAGAGAAGGAAGTGATGGCAGGGAGGCAATGACAGATGAGGACTCTGGGCTGCGGAAGGCTAAGAGGGAGACGGGAAGGGATGGGGTCAGGAGCAAGGACGGGAAGGGATGGGGTCAGGAGGGAGACGCTCCTCCCTGTGGGTAGGCCGGCTTGCTGAGAAGGCAACTCAAGGCCAGAGACCCTCACCACGGCACCCGTCCTGCATCTGGGCCTCCTGCGTCCTGCATCCCGGGCCCCGGGCGCAGCTGCACCAGGCGGGGGTGGCCGTGAGCACACAGCGCCATCTGGTGGGAAGATGGCAGATCACAGCGAAGGAAGCCAGCTCAGCACCACTGCGGCAGGGCTGGGATGCTCCAGGCGCGCCCTCAGGCTCCTGGCAGTGAGTCCCAGGCAGCAAGCAGCCAGGGCAACCAGGAGCCCGAGGAGCATTTAACAGGGCGCAGCCCCAGGATGCAACAGCTCTCATACAATTGGCCAGGAAGGCGTTCAGATGGTTTGGAAAACACCCCCTTCTCTCTTGGCTTCAGTCTCTATTTACTCTCTTCCGGCCAATGAGCAACGGGCAGGAAAAGCTCAGGGCCAGGCTCCCGGGGAGTCTGGACATACGGGAAGCAGCTGCTAACCCCAGAGCCCTGGAGAATAATAACGTCCAGGCCCAAGAGCGCAGCCGGGCTGCACCCACACAGCTGGCCAGGCAGCCCCAGCTGTCCTTCCTCCCTGACTCCAAGAAAGAGAAGGAAGTGATGGCAGGGAGGGAGGGGAGAAGGTGACGCACATTGTGTGGAGCAGGTGTCTCTGCCTTTCTTGGAGCCGGCATCCCTGTGAAGGAAGACGGAGAACCGCAGGATGTCTCTGACCTGCACATGCCTCTGAAAACGGCCAGCCCAGGAGTCACACTGAGCCCCCAACGGAATTCTGCATTTGGCTCAAGGCAACTTGAAGCACATTGCAGGAGAGAATTCTTGCCTCTGTGTCCCCTTGAACAAAAGGTGGGGATGACCTGATTCTCTGAGATGTTGGGGGGCAGAAGATAAACAAGGGGAACTGTGGTCCTAAATCCCGAAATTCAGAGAATCCCGTCATTCCATTGCAAGCCCTACCACTCATCTCTGGTCCCCCTCCCGAGACTCTGGGAAGCCAAGGCAGAGGCCCTTCTAGACCTAGTGGACCAGCCACAAGCACTGACCAGCATGAGCACTGACCAGCACTGACCAGCCACCAGCACTGACCAGCCTCCAGCATTTACCAGCACTGACCGAAAATGACCAGCAACCAGTACTGACCAGCACTGACAAGCCACCAGCA